TTAAGAGCTGTGGTTTGGGGTTGCCAGGGAGCCGTTGATGAGCTCGCTCTCGTCATCGTCAGCGCGGGAACGGCGCCGCACTTGCTCCGCGACAGGGAGGAAGAACTTAAAATCACCTACACGATCTCTTCTTTTTTCATATCTAACCTTGTTTTATCTTTACGCCTATCTTCATCGTTATCATTATCACCATTTTCTCTTTTTGTCCATCTTCATCATTATCATTATTACTATTTTTCTTTTTTCTCATTATTACCATTTTCGCGGCGATGGAGCGCGAGTTATAATTCAATTCTTCGGACATTCGAACAGCATTTACATATAATCTTTTACATTGAGAGAAAAAAAACAATAAAAGCAAAAATAAATGAATATATGAATAAATAAAAAGTAAATAAAAAAAGTAAATAAATAAAAAGCAATAAATAAAAAAAGTAAATAAATAAAAATAAATAAAAAATAAAAATAAAAATAAATAAAAATAAAAAATAAAAAAAAGTAAATTAATAAAAATAAAACAATATAAAAATAACCAAATATAAACGACATTACTAAATGAATAACCCCCCCGCCCCCAACCCCCAACCAAACCCCACCAACCCCCTGGAACATTCGTCTCCCCCCCCCCCCCCCCCCAACGAGCGACCTCGAGAACGGCACTGTATTCCGGAGCCTTTAACCTCCGCCTCGACCGACCTTCTTTCTAATGAGATAAATAGCGGCCGTCGCTCGCCCATTACACAAAACGGAAAAAAATGTCGATAAACAGACTAAAGGGGAGACGACCAAAGATAAAGAGGGGATGACGATAACTGACGTGAAATTGCATCCTGTACCCCCTTCATTCCCTCTTTATTGTGGCCGGGCTAAAAAATCGGCTCTCATCGACGGCCCCAGACCCTCACTCAGGTTAGCGGGGGGGGGGGGGGGGGAGAGGGCGCTGTCTGAGGGGAAAAAAGGCGGGGAGGTAACAGGCAGTTGGGGCGCGGGGGTAAGGGGAGGAGAGAGAAAGGAAGATGGGGGGAGGGGGAGAGAGAGAAGGAAGGTGGGGGAGGGGGAGGAGAGAGAAAAGGAAGGTGGGAGGGGGAGAGAGAGAGAAAGGAAGTGGGAGGGGGGAGAGAAAGGAAGGTGGGGGAGAGAGAGAGAGAAAGGGTGGGGAGGAGAGAGAAAGGAAGGTGGGGGGGAGGGGAGGGCAGCGGGATGAGGGAAAGGATTCGAGGCTTTTGGGGGAAGGAAGGGTTGGGGTGGAGGATAGGGTTGAGGGTGGGGATAGGTTCTCGCGGATGCCCTCTTTTTAGGGTTAGAATCATCGTCTACATTTGTTTTTGAAAATGAAATTTATGCGATCTTACTCGCCCTCCCTTTTCTTTGTCTATCTGTCAGTCTCCCTCTCTCCTCCCTCCCCTTCTCTCTCTCTTTCTTATCCTCCCTCCTCCCTCCCTCTCTCTCTCTCTCTCTCTCTCTCTCTCTCTCTCTCTCTCTCTCTCTCTCCTCTCTCTCTCTCTCTCTCTCTCTCTCTCTCTTTCATATACGCAGATAGTCACACATAAACAAATGTAATCAAAGTAAACAAACAGGTTCTCTATAATTATATAATACTACCCTGAATTTCCCCGAACCTTCTATATAACCTTGTCCCTCTATATCAAAAACTTACAGCCCATGTGCTCGGTTCCCCATGTGTACACCGGCCTGTGACGTGTGCGCGGAAGTAAGACCCGTGTGTGCGTGTGATGACGGTGAGCGCAATTTTCCTCTTCATTTCTGTAGGTATAAAAACGAGTCCCAGAGTGGTGATTCTAGGCCCGCGCGCCAGGTTAGCTGGAGAGCAGGAGGAGGCAGGGGAGGAAGGGGAGGAGAAGGATGAAGGGGAAGAAGGGGAGAGGGAGGGGAGGGGAGGAGGAGAAGGAAGAAGGGGGGAGAGGAGGAGAAGGAGGAGGAGAAAGAAGAGGAGGAGGAAAAAGTAAGGGAGGAGAGGAGAGGAGGAGGAGGAGGAGGAGAGGAGAGAAGAGGAGGAAGGGAGGGGAGGAGGAGAGGACAAGAGAGGAAAGGTGGAGGAGGAGAATGAGGAAGAGGAGAGGATAGGTGAGAGAGAGAATGAGAAATTTGGATATGATCTGTCTCTCTATCTATATCTATATCTAAATATTATCTATCTAAAAATCTATATATATCTATATCTAAAAATCTATATATATCTATATCTAAATCTCTCTTTCTCTATCTATCTATTTATCTATCTATCTCTCTATCTTTACTACACCATATATATATATATATATATATATATATATATATATATATATATATATATATATATATATATATAGACACACACACACACACACACACACACACACACACACACACACACACACACACACACACACACACACACACACACACACATATATATATATATATATATATATATTATATATATATATATATATATATCACACACACACACACCTAAGTATTCAAACATGTACATAGTACTGAGTACATACATAGTCTATCGAAAGCTAGATCAGACAACAGTCAGACGTAAAAATCAATGAAACAAATAAAGAATAAACGGAGAGCTGGCAGGAAACAAATAAACACACAGAAGGGCTTATTACAACTGCCTGAGGTGCACGTGTTTCGCCGAAGGGCAGCTGCAGATTACACCGAGAGAGAGAAGTCAGTGTGAGGAATTGGAGGAAGCGTTGGGCGTAGGAATAACGGAGGTGGAGAGAATGATATTGGCGAAAGGAACGAAGGGAATAATAAGGGCGAGGGAGAAAGGGTGTCTCTCCGACGGCACAAACAGCGGACCTGAAAGGGAATGACACGGCGGCCCATTATGAGACGAGGACCGAATAAGGGGAGGAATCGCCCGGGCTCAAAAATGCTACTAAAGGAGACATCCGAAAGGGACGAAGAGGGAAGGAATAAGAAGTAGGGAGTCGGAAATAGGGGGAGGGGAGGAGGAGGAGTAGGAGGGAGGGGGGAGTAGGAGGGAGGGGAAGGAGGGGAGGGAGGAGTAGGCGCGGGACGGAGGGGGATTCCACAAAGCTCCGGCAACAATTAGGCGCGGGCCATTGTGGGCATCACCCCTTCTGCCGGGCCTGTCTTTTGGCCGCCGAGACCCTGATGGATGCGGCCGTGCAATTTCCTGTCCAAAGTGTGTGTGTATCGCGCGAGCGGAGCGAGGCCCGTGCCTGGCGGTGACACGGCGGATGGACGGCCGCACAAAGGGTTAATTACCTCCACTCGCCAGATAGGTGGGACGGCGGCGCAGGCGGAGGCCCAGGCCGGCCGCGCGGCCTCTCGGCGCCTGTCCGCTGGCGGCCTTTCACGAGGCGCCCGGGGAGGGGGAGGGGGGGGGGCGGGGGAAGGCTTAATGCGTTTCGGATTCCAGTCTGTTACTCGAAGGTTGTACCTTTTGGAAGATGTAAGGATACTAACAGGAATAAAAACAAATATCACCCATTAGTCTATCGTTACAATATAACACCACTAAAAATAAATAACACATTCAATCACGGCCTGCTTCTATTACCTTCCTGCTACACCAAACAACGACAAAAGATAACAAGAACAACCTGCCAAACCTCCGGGCCGAGAGCTAAAAGGGCCAATATCAAAAGACGCCAATTTCGAGATCAGCCGACGACCGAACCGGAAATTCTTAGCCCTACCAGTGTTATAAAGTCAGTATCAAGCGTATTAGGGACGCCACACATAATAATAATAATATATAATAATAATAATAATAATAATAATAATAATAATAATAATAATAAATAATAATAATAATAATAATAATAATAATAATAATAATAATAATAACAATAATAAAACCACAAACAACAATGATATAACAATAACAATAATAGTAATAATAATATAATAATAATTCAAAAACCACTCCTAATGTGACTGATTACCACAAATACTCGCAGCTGCATTTTGAATACATAGCAGATGGAAGCTTCAGGTTGGCCGATGTTACTTAGCTAATAGTCAGTGTGGCAATTTCAGAATGCAGGCAATAGATTTTGAGGTTATAAAAAGGGAAAAAGTATGCTTAAGTAATAGAACTGCCATGAGAACTTTCTTTTATATATTTTTATTTTCAGATGATAATAACAATAATAATAATGCTAATAATGATAATAATAATAATAATAATTACTATCATTATTATTATCATCCTTATTATCATTATTATTATTATCATTATTACTATTATTATTTATCATCATCATTATTATTATCATCATCATTATTATTATTGTTATTATCATTATCTTAATAATAGTACCAACAACGGTAATAAGTAATGACAAAGAACATTATGATACTAGTAATGATAAGAATAACAATAACTATAATGATGATGATGATGATGATAACAATTATAATAATATCAATACTAATAATAATACTAATAATAACAAAAACAATAACAAAAACATTAACAATAATGATGATAAATAATATAAATAATCATATATATGATAATGATAACAACAATAATAATAATAACAATAATAATAACAACATCAGAAGCAACAACAACAAAAATATGATAATGATAATAATTACTGTTATACTAGAAGTAGTAACAATAATGAAAGTAATGATAATGATAATAAAAATAATAATGTTATCAATAATAATAACAACGATACTATTAACAATAGCAACAATAATAACAAAAATAATAATAATCGTGGTGACAACAATAATTACAATCACCATCAATATAACAATAATGATAACAATAATAAAAGTAATAACAATAACAATAACTACAATAACAATAATAATCATTATAATAACATTAGTAACAGTAATAGTAAGAGTAATAATGGTAATAACCGTAGTAGTAATAATATAATAATAATACTTAATAATAAAATAATATAATAATAATAATAATAATAATAATGATTATTATAACTATAATACTAATAATACTGATAATAATGATAATAATAATAATAATAATAATACTGATAATGATAATGATAATGATAGTAATACTAACAATACTACTACTACAACAACAACTACTACTACTACTAATAATAACAATATCAACAACAACAATAATAACAATAACAATAAGGATAATGATAATAATAACAGAAATAATAATAATAACAATAAAACAATAACAATAATGATAATATAATGATGATAATCATAATAATAATAATAATAATAATAATAATAATAATAATAATAATAATAATAATAATAATAATATAATAAAATAACAATAATAATAACTACAGTAATAATTATGACATAATAATGATGATAATAATAATAACAATAACAATTATAACAATGATAGTTATGATGATGATAATGATAATGACAATAATAATAAAACAATAATGATAATAACAACAACAATAATGATAATAATAATAATAACAACAGTAATAATAATAATAATAATAATAATAATAATAATAATAATAATAATAATAATAATAATAATAATAATAATAATAATAATAACAACAACAACAACAATAATAATAATAATAACAACATTCACAACAAAAATAACAACAACAATAATAACAAAAACAACAACAGCACCAATGATACTACCACCACCAATAATGATAATGAAAATCATATATATCCAAAGTAATAATACTGATATTGTTTCTTTTTTTTCATTTCCGTTTGAAAAAGAAGATGATGATGATGATAATAATATAATAATAATAATTATTACTATGATGATGATGATGATGATTATCATGATAATGATAATAATAATAATAGAATAGCAACAATAACAATAATAATAATGATAACAATAACATTAACAACAAGAACAAGAACAAGAAAACAACAACAACAACAACAACAATAATAATAATAATAATAATAATAATAATAATAATAATAATAACAATAATAAAAACAATGATAAATGATAATATTAATAATCATCATCATCACCACTATCAGCATTATTACAATTGTAATTGGTTTTATTATCACTGTTGTTTTGATGTTACTTTTATCGATATTATCATTATTGCCACTACTTCAGCTATCAGTATCACTACCATAATTATAGTTATTATAATAATTCGCATTATTATAATCATTACCGCTGTCACGGCAACAAATTGAAACTATCGTGATGAATGATGCCGTTTATACGTCAGTAAAATTATCAGAAACTATTACCGTTACAATTATTACCATTACACATAATGAAAGTAATGATCCTAACAGTAATAATGCCAGCAAAAGATATGTATTTTATAATTGAATAAGCGGAAATGGCAGTAACGCAATGTAGTTCCACTGTATGAAATACTATTTGGCTTAGCTTCCTCTTCAATTTGCGATGATAGTCTGTTTATAATTGCGCTTATGTATTTCCTATAATAGCAGTAATTGAAAAATAAGAATAGTATCAATGAAGACTAACAAGGAGAAAAGAAATGGTGTTCAGAATGGATTTTCGGGCATTTTCCGTGTGACCAGAACAGGTGGAGGCCACCATACCTGGCTAGACCCCGCCCCCCACTCCAGAACCCGCACATGATTGGCTGAAGCCGCCAGGTGAGGGGTAACCTTATTATGATTGGCTGGACACAGTCTTAGGTGGGGCTGGAAAATGGAACTTCATTTTTATCAGACATTTTGCGGACGTGCTGATTCCACTCTTACTCTTCGAGACTGGAAGAGCATCTTACCTTTAAGACGAACGTGCAACACTATCCGTTCTTGCGGTAAGCAGGCAATAAAAGTCGGCGGCGAGCGAAGTTGTTTTCCGCCTGGGAGACCGTGCAGGTGCGCTCGGGTTATTATCTCTGCTTCCTTTCCTGATTGGTCGCTACCTGGAGGATGACCGCCAACGCCTCTCGCTGATTGGCTATTTTTTTCGTCATCCACGTCGTTGGTTCATGATTGGTTTTCTTGCCGGGAACAATAATATGGCGAATCATCTGCACAATAGGAGTATCTGATTCATACTTTTATTTCACTGACGTTGATGTGCAATTGATGAATTAATATAAAAAGAAATATCGTTTTGCCATGTCGTGACATTATATATATATATATATATATATATATATATATATATATATATATATATATATATATATATATATATATATATATATATATTATGTATATTACTTTCCATTTATTTATCTATCTATCCATTTATGCATATATATACATTTATTTCTAATAAACGTGTGCGTACGAGTGCATGCGAAGCTCCAATAAACGGCAAAACCCCGCCCACCCACCAGGCACAAGCGCACCCTGCCCCCTTCGCCAAGGTCGCCGCTGCCTTATCAACCCCCAGCGAGCGGCCGCGTCCTTCGCAGAGCCGTCCTCTCGGGCCACAGCCTCCCGAGGCGACGCGGCCCCGGAGCCCGTCCTTCCCCTTCCCAGACGAGGCAGGGACGCAACTTGGCCATGCCGTCCGTATCGATTTCACCCCGCTGGACAAACATGATCTACGCAAAATCGATATCGGCGAAGGGGCGGGGTTATTTTCGTACCTTGCGGGGGGAGGAGGGGGAGGAGGGGAGGGGAGGAGGGGGGGGAGGCGCCGAACAGCCTGTAGGTTGGCGTGGGAGAGACGTGAGCGCGTGGGTCATTCACCGCCTGTTTCTTTGCACTGCTGGGAAGAAAGGGGATAAGACAGAGGAAGGACAGAGGAAGACATTTTAAGAAAGAGTCCCAACTTTCCAGGGAATTTCATGCTCGAAGATTAAAAAAAAAAAAAAAAAAAAAAAAAAAAATTCATCACTGTGGATAGTTTCAAAAGCAACCTAATGGATAGAGATTAGAACGTGCCATGAGCTCTATAAAGTAACGATAGGCTTTTGGCGTGACTAGTTCCATCGCTGACGTGGAGAGAGACACACACGTTGGCTTCTCGTTCGTCTGGCATTGGCTCCCCCCTCCTCCCCTCCCTTCTTCCTTCCCTTTGTTTCTCTCTTTCTCTTTGTTTCATAGGTTGGTCCTTTTCTCCTTCCATTCAACTTTCCTTCTTGGTTTTACATTTTTCTCCTCTTCCCTTCCTCCATATAATGGAAATAATAACTCCAGATATACCAACGTAGCTAATTCACGCAGAATAAAATACCTTTCCTCTTCAAATATTCTATTATGTTTACCTACAACCGCAACGCAATCAACTAGTGCATCTTAATTAAAGCGCACCAAGTTAATCAACTTAAGGTAAAACATCAAATAAAGTGAATTTAGCAAGTTCAACCAATTTAAGAACGCCAGGTTAAAACGCAAGATTTTACGCCTATGAACTTGACAAAAAATGTTAAACTTGACTGCAAGTCCGATCAAGCCGTGAATTAAGAAGCAGCCAATCAAAATACATTCCATTCGTTAGACACAACAGGCAAGCACGTCATCCTACCTGTGAACTAGAAGAGAGAGAGAGAGAGAGAGAGAGAGAGAGAGAGAGGAGAGAGAGAGAGAGAGAGAGAGGGAGAGAGAGAGAGAGAGAGAGAGAGAGAGAGAGAGAGAGAGAGAGAGAGAGAGAGAGAGAGAGAGAGAGGAGAGAGAGAGGAGAGAGAGAGAGAGAGAGAGAGAGAGAGAGAGAGAGAGAGAGAGAGAGAGAGAGAGAGAGAGAGAGAGGAGAGAGAGAGAGAGAGAGAGAGGAGAGAGAGGAGAGAGAGAGAGAGAGAGAGAGAGGAGAGAGGAGAGAGGGGAGAGACAGATAGAGAAGGAGATAAAGGAGAAAGAGAGATAGAGAGAGGGGAGAAAGATAGAGAAGTAGAGAAAGTGAGAGAAAATGAGAGAGAGAGAGAGAGAGAGTCAGACAGACAGACGAGAGAGAGAGAGAGAGAGACAGAGGAACAGAGACAGACAAAGAGAGAGAGAGAGAGAGAGAGTGGCAGAAAGAAACAGAGAAACAGACAGGGAAAGAGAGCAAGCGAGAGCAAGCGAGAGCAAACCTGATTGCAAGCCCAATCAACCCGCGGAATAAGTCCCCCATTAACCCCCGTCCTGCGAGTCCATTCCCGAAATCCTACAGGAGCGCCGCGATGATCCCGCCCGGAGGATGATCATCATAACGGCGTGCTTCGTGAATGTGCCTTTCGACGTACGCATTGGGAGGGGGGCGGGGGGGGGGGGGGGGAGGGGGGAGTAAAGAAAAAAAAAAAAGCGGAAAGAGAGAGAGACGGGGAAAAAAAGGAGGAAAAAAGTGGTGTATATATTTCCCCCGGGTTCTTGAGTTTCGAGTCGGCGCTGATACGTGCGCTGGGGCGGCTCCATGAACCTGCGGTATCTTGTAGCGCCGCGGAATTAGGATTTTTTTTTTTTTTTTTTTTTTTTTGAGGTGTGGGGGGGGGGGGGGGGGGAGGTGTCCCTTCATACAGTGGGAGGGGGGCTGAGGCGCGAGTGGGATGGGAGGGGGGGAGGGGAGGGAGAGGGAGAGGGGGAGGAAAGCTCATCAAATTATAATTACGATGAACGTCGTTCTGGAATACCTTAGCTGTACGTAATATTTTGCCTTTTTTTTTGTCTCTATTTTTCTTTTCTTTTTTCTTGTTTTCATTTCCTGTTCCTGCCCGAGTGAGTGCGTTATGTGCCGTTGCCGAGTTTTATCTCTATTGCGCCAGGTAATTTTCCGCCTGTTATAGCCGACTGTCTTTCAGTCTTTTTCCCCCCTACTTAATTATCTATTTTTGTCGTGTTAAACCTATAGCTCTTATTAATTTGTGTCTGCTTACCTAATGTGATTTTATTTCTCTAATTTCGACAATGGCGGCCATTAGATCGCCGGATGATAAAGAAAAAGTGTAACGATACAATTTCCTCTAACGGTGCTGAACATAAAAGTTAATTTCGTAGCTAACTCGGAAGCCTGTATCTCAGAGCGTTTACGAACAACACATACTCACCACCACGGAAAAGGTGTGCACATACGCATAAACGACATGCACACACACACGCACACATACAAGCATATAAACACACACACACACAAACAGACGCACACATAAAACAGACACATACAACAACACAGACACATACATGCAAACAAATAAACACACACATACATACAAACAAATAAACACACACAGACATACAAACAAATAAACACACACATACATACAAACAAATAAACACACACATACACACACACATCACCAAACAAAACACACACACAAACACAAACACAACACACACACACGGGAAAATATAACACGCTCTCCCATCCACCTTCTGCCCACTACATTAACAACAAAACAGAAGCTCTCCCTTGCGCCAGGTCACCCTCCGTCACCACCGGAATAATAAAAAGGAAGTCCCCCTCCCCTCCCCCTCTCCCTTCCCTCCCCCGTCTCCCTTCCCCCCCCGCCTACCTTGATCCTATCCCTCCCCCTTTCGCTCCTCCTCCTCCTCCTTCCCATTCCCTTCTTCCTCTTTCTCTCTCGCCTGGCACGTCTTTCGAGTTCAAATCAGGAAGGTCCCCCTCCACCTGTCCTATTACTTCCCTCCTTCCCTCCCTCCCTTTTTCCCTCCCTACCTTCCTCCCTCCATATCTCACTCCCCCTGCCTATCTCACTCGCTCCCTCACTATCTCCCTCCTCCTCCCCCCTCCCTATCTCATTTCCCTCCCTCCCTTCTCTGTCATTCCTTCTCCCACTGCTGCTCAGTCTATCTTTTCCTCCCTTTCTCCGTCTGATGAACCTTCCATATATGTATTTTCTCTACCGTCTTTCTGTCCATTCTCTCTCTCGTCCTTCTCTCTCTCTCTCTCTCTCTTCTCTCTCTCTCTCCTCTCTCTCTCTCCTCTCTCTCTCTCTCTCTCTCTCTCTCTCTCTTCCTTTCATCTCTCCTGTTCCCTCTTTCCTCTTTCCCTCCCCTTTTATCTTCCTTCCTATTCCTTTTTGTCTTATCCCTCCCTCCTCTCCATTCTTTCTCTTTTTACCCCCTCTCCTCTTCCTCCCTCCCTCTTTTCTCTTCATCTATCTCTCCTTCCTCCTCCTCGCCTTATCCTCTTCCCTCTACTTTCCCTCTTTCTAACTCTCCTCTATCCCTCTTCCTCTAGTTCCTCCTTTCTTTCCTTCTCTTCCTCCTCTCCCACTATTCATCCCACTTCTTTCTCAGGCCATTCCTCCCTTCTCCCTTCCTCCCCCTCCTTCCTCTCTTTTCTTCCCCTCTCCCTGGTTCCTTCTTCACTTCCCTCACCCACCCCCCTTCCACCAGGATCCTCCCTCTCTCTTTTCCTCCACCTCTCTTTTCCCAGGTACTTCCCTCCTTCCATGCTCCTCTCTCCCTCCCTTCCCACAGACTCTTGCCTCCTTCCCTCCTTCCCTTCCTCCATGCTCCTCCCTCCCTCCCTTCCTCCATGCTCCTCTCTTCCTCCATGCTCCTCCTTCCCTCCCTTCCTTCATGTTCCTCTCTTCCTCCCTCCCTTCCTCCATGTTTCTCTCTCCCTCTCTTTCCCCAGACTTTTGCCTCCCTTCCTCCTTCCCTCCCTTCCCTCAGACTCTTGCCTCCCTCCCTCCCTTCCTCCATGCTCCTCTCCTCCTCCTTTCCCCAGACTCTTGCCACCCTCCTTTCTCCATCCTTCCCTCCGTCCTCCTTCCACCAAGCTCCTCTCTCCTCCCACCCCCTTCCCCTCCCCCCGCCCTTCCACCAAGCTCCTCCCTCCTCCCCCTCCCCTCCCCCCCCGTTCCCCGAGCTCCTCCCCTCGTTTCCCCTCTTTCCGCCATCTCAGGGGAGTGCTTCAGTTTAATCGTCTTACCGGCCCTAATACCTGCACACGTTACTTACTGCGTCGGATGGCGGGACTAAGTGGATGGCGGGATGGGTGGCGGGGTGGATGGCGGGGTGGATGGCGGGATGGATGGCGGGATGGATGGCGGGATGGATGGCGGATGGGTGGCGGGATGGGTGGGCGGGGGTGGATGGTGGGATGGGTGGCGGGGTGGCGGGCGGGTGGTTGGCGTGGGTGGGGGGTGGATGGCGGGATGGGTGGCGGGGTTGGATGGCGGATGGCGGGGTGGGTGGCGGGTGGATGGCGGGATGGGTGGCGGGAATGGGGTGGCGGGTGGATGGGTGGGATGGGGTGGCGGGGTGGATGGCGGGATGGGTGGCGGGGTGGATGGCGGGATGGGTGGCGGGATGGGGGATGGGGTGGCGGGGTGGATGGCGGATGGGTGGCGGGTGGATGGCGGGTGGCGGGGTGGTGGAGGGTGTGGCGGGATGGTGGAGGGGTGATGGCGGGATGGGTGGCGGGGTGGGTGGCGGGAATGGGTGGATGGGTGGGGGGTGGAATGGCGGGTGGGCGGGGATGGGCGGCGGGGTGGATGGCGGATGGGGCGGATGGGCGCGGATGGATGGGGTATGGGTGGCGGGATGGCGTTTGGGATGGATGGCGGGATGGGTGGCGGGTGGATGGCGGATGGGTGGCGGGGTGGATGGCGGGATGGGTGGCGGGGTGGATGATGGGTGGCGGGGTGGATGGGATGGGTGGCGGGGTGGATGGCGGGATGGGTGGGCGGGGTGGATGCCGGGATGGGTGGCGGGGTGGGGCGGGGTGGCGGCATGGATGACGGATGGAGGCCGGGCAGAGGGGAGATGACGTGGTGACCAGTGGATAGGGTATGGATATATGTCTAGATTGAAGACGTGAAATATAGTGTGTGGATAGTGGATGGACAAAAAAAGAAAAAGAAAAAGAAAAGAAAAAAAAAAAATCACTGTTTATCTAGCAATTTTTATAATACTTACGTAGAACACATACCAATGGCTACGTAAAAAATAGATATGTATATATGCATATATATATATATATATATATATATATATATATATTATATATAATATATATATATATATATATATACATATATATGTATATATATATATATATATATATATATATATATATATATATATATATATATATATATATATATATAGAGAGAGAGAGAGAGAGAGAGAGAGAGAGAGAGAGAGAGAGAGAGAGAGAGAGAGAGAGAGAGAGAGAGAGAGAGAGAGGAGAGAGAGAGAGGAGAGAGAGAGAGAGAGAGAGAGGAGGAGAGAGAGAGAGAAGAGAGAGAGAGAGAGAGAGAGAGAGGAGAGAGAGAGAGAGAGAGAGAGAGAGAAGAGAGAGAGAGAGAGAGAGAGAGAGAGACAGAGAGAGAGAGAGAGAGAGAAGAGAGACAGAGAGGGGGGGAGGAGAAGACAGAGGCAGGTGGCAAGGCAAATATGGGTAGGTAAGATTGAGGAGACCATATGGAGCTTGAAGTGGGTTGATGTCCCTGCGCGAGAGGGTAAGAGATAGGGTGGGGAGGGGGTGGAGGGGGGATGAGTAGTTTGACAAATACAGAGATTGGTGGGGGAGGGGAGGGGTGGGGAGGGTAAGAGGGAGGGTAGGAGCGAGCAAGCGGTTGAGGGAGGGGGAGAGAATTTGAGCAAAAATCAAGCGGAAGCGATAGGAGGGAGAAAGAATGAGAAATTGAGAGACAAAATAGAACTAAACAGCAGACAATAACATTATAGAGAAAGCCTACACTAACATAAGAT